CTTCCTCCCCTCACTCCTCTGTCTTCCTCCGTCCCTCCTCTCCATCTCTCTTCTGCCTATTAAGGACACCGCTAATGGTTTTTCTTTTTTAGCTTCTCTCGGCCACATCATGAACAAACCTATTAACTCTCAGTTATCCAAGCCCAGTACGACTTACTGTAAGCATATACGGTAACACAATGTTAACTTTATGATAAACACTAGTCAGTCAGAACTGAGAATGGTCTAGAACAGTCCGCACTGTTTACATAGCTCTAATGGAGCTGGGTTTACTGGGATAGTGACGAGAATCAGAGAGATATCATCTAGTTTGGATTGTTTTCAAGGGTGGTCTTATCCGTTTGTTAATTAAAGTGCTGTACATGTACACACGCTATAATACACACACACAATGGCACTGGCACATATTGATGTCCTTTGATTGTTATCATTATCCTCTTCATGTGAATGACTGATTATAGTTCTGAAGAATACCATGTTCAAACACACAGATCATGGCCAAATGGAAATGAATATACACAATCTCATTCTAGGAGTCTCAAAGACACACACACACACGCACACACACACATACCTTGCCAGACACAGCTGTGAGCACTCTCATTTTGGCGATAATCTCTCAGCTCTCTTCAAAGACTCTCAGACTCCATGTCCATGCCCCCCTCCCTCCCACAGCACACACAATAGGCACACTCACTAATCTGTTGCTGTTAACATCATAGCTACATGATCCATCCTTCAGCCATTTCAATCTCTGCACTGCATGCTCGACATATATGGTTTTCATCATAATGAGCATAATAACAATGTATATGCAGGATTTTAAGTAAGGGGAACACTTGCTTAAATAGACAGATTCCTTTCCAACTGCCAGAATTTTCTTTTTTTGTATGTCCCGAGATGTTAGTAACCTGCCTCGGGAAACGTGTAATTGTAAAGTTTCATTTATGTCTTTTACTTTTTCAGTTATTTTGTAAACTCTCAAAGCAGTTAGTAATAGATGAAGGAAATGAAAGACAAAGACAGTTATTTCTGGTTGTTTTACAATGATCAACGAAAAAATGGCTGATTCTGTCAATGGAGTCTGGTGGCAGCAAAAGAGAGAATAAAACAGCAGTTTGTTTTTTTACATCTAACTCGATAATTTGTTTTTTAAAAGTGTGTTTTACTGTAAGATGATCAGCAAGGTAAAACGACTGTATATTTCAATGGATTATTGTAGCTTTGAGAAGAGTGCATTGGTGATTGATTTTTTGTATATTGAAAGCCCCCTCAAAAATCCAATCTGATTGTTTTATTTGTTATATTTTCACTTCCACTTACGTAGCATAGCTTAGTTCCGGAAAAAGGACAAAAAGTAAAAATTCCGCACAAGGTGCCAATTTTTTACCGGGTTGAATACAAAATGTTATCTTTCCCATTGATGACACAAGCAGATGTCTGTCTGTCTGTCTGGTATTCCTTTTTCCTTAATGACCACCTCGTTGTACCTTATACCGCTTATTATACAGCCACATACTTAATGAACTGGCAATTTCACTCAATGTTAATTGAAAATGATTTAATTGAATAATTATCGTATTGCTTCGGCTAAGAAAAAATAGTTTGTTCTAATGCGTACCAACAGCTGGAACTGCAGCAACAGCAACATAACTAAAAATGACGGCAAACTGGTCGAGGTTTTCTGCTACTGTCCAAGTCTTTTCACATTTTATTTTCTACTAACAAGTCCTTGAACACTGCCAGAGCCCATACCGTGTTCCTGTTAGTGTTTACTTCCTGTACGTCTTCTTCTGCTGTTCCCTTTAGTGTTTACTTCCTGTATATCGTCTTCTGTTAATTTCTCTGACGTCCAGCTCTCTGTCTCTTTCCTTCTCTTGTTCTCTTGTTCTTTTCTTAACTGGGGACAGTTTAGAATCCAAGTTTTGGGCTTTCGACAAAAATAAAAATAAATATTCCAAAAGTATTCCCTGTTGTTTTCTGATGGACAAAATACTAATGTTTGTTGTCCACAGTTGATGTTTAATCGACAGTCTTCTTTCTGTGGAGTGATGTGACTGCACATAGTCCCTTGATCCTCCTTATCTTCTGCATGTTCTCCTTAGCTTTGGTCTGTTAGCGAGTATTAACAACCTCTGAAATGTTCAAATTGACCAATCAGAATCAAGTATTCAACTAATCTGTGTAATAAGAATTGTATATAACCTTAATAAAGTGATCTCTCTCTCTGATTCTGTATCCCCATCTGTTCACTTAGTAACAAAAGCTCATTGCGCTGTGATCCATGCTGCTGACCTCAAACTACCTTTGACTAAAGTGGGTTATTTTTGGTCCCCAGCTCTGTTGAAAATCGTCACGGGAAATCACATCATGCCGCATGAAAAGCACGTCTATAATTAATACAATATGGTCTGGGGCTAATGCAGAAGTGTCACGCTGTGTTTCTGCTAGATGCTGGGTTTCAGAAGCTAAAAGGTGACAGGAAACAACATGACTGATTACTTTTCTTCCCACTATTTCAGCCCACTGCATTCAAACATGTGCACATCACCCCACATTGCGAGAACAAAACAACAATCAGGTGTACTCTTCAGTAAGCAATCGACAACACATGTTCATGTGTTTTCCAGCTCAGATCTAAGCCAGCCCAGGGGCCATAGGTGAGCTAATGCTGAATGAGCAATATGTTGCAAGGAAAAGGCATATGTCATCTATTCTCATTCACAATGATCCATTACTCATGTGCTTGGCTCAGTTGGCTGTCTCTCTGAACACCCTCGGCCAAACCTAGACATGCACACTGATTTGGTTTCCAGTCTTTTAATGGAGATTCTCCCAAATGTTCCCGCCAGAACCCAAATAGGAAATCTTTAGATCAAAGATTGCGTGTCCACTTTTGGCTAAGAGTTTCTAGGTCTATGCAAGGATCGCACACCCAATGGAAGGGCAATTATGCTTCTTATAACTTCTGGAGCACAACATGTTGGAAAAGGTGTGTTACGTTAGGGCCATTTAAGCTGCCTGCCAACTGCTGATTAAGCCAAGTTACATGGATTAGTGTGAGAGCGATCTGTTCTTAGTATGCTATGCACTGGAGGCTTTTGTCAAGGCTAGAAAGAAGAAAGATATGATAATGCTCATACTGTATTGTTTGTATTGTCACCATTTTGTTTTTACACTTATTTTGATTGCAGATTTGAATGCCTTGAAACAGATTTTATTTACACTCCATGGGTTTGTTTCCAGCTACTGGACAAGCTGTTAGAAAACGTAGCCATTTAACAATCAATCAATAACAAACAAGTATTCCTAGGCAGCATTCTGGTCTCTCCGAGGTGTAATGCACATTTTGAAGATTCATTACACTGCATTTTTTTTACAATTGCAATGAATAAATTACTCTTTGTCAATAATTACATCTTTTATAGAGTTTTTAGTTCTGCTGAGCCCAACATTTTCAGGCTACATATCATTAGGCGTTAAGGCGTTTTCACCTCACAGATTCACAGGTTTAGTGCGGTCACCCTCAGAGCCCACATGCTCAATCACACATAACATGCCTGGTGTGAAATGGCTGGTGAAGAACATCCAGACAGATAAAAAGATCACACTGCCATATTTCCTGTGAACACTTAAAAACACTGCAAAGACTGCAAAGACATTTGCTTTTGCTGAATGTGTCGGTATATAAACCTGTGTTTGAGTCTTTCCTACTCTCGGTCATGAATCACTGTCGTTTTTGTCCAGCACACAGTCTGAGGTAACATGTTGTTGGTGTTGAATGGTGAAGTTGGGCTGTTTGTGGCCTTAGTCTGTTTTTGTTTGGATCGGTCTGCGCAATCATTTTTAGTTATTGGCCCCTTTCTTAGTTACACCTGGTACACAGTTAGTAAACTAGCCTATCGGCTATGAATTCAAGTGCGTTCATGTGAACTGCATGCCTGCACTGACATCCAGCTGCATTTGATCATGTCTGTGAACCCTGAAGCGTCATTGAAAGCTATATTTCATGCAAAGCACTCACCAAGCCATGCAATAAACATGTAAAACTCAGGGCAACAATCTCAGACCTTATCAGCTATTTGTCAGTCAACAATTTAGTCTCTTCCAATATTATGGTAGCTCTAGTGAGAAGATTTCCAGAACTCGTCATTTTGTTCAGGTTCTTAGCTCGCTTGCTTTTTGTGGTTGATCCATTTTGCCAACAATCCACACACAGCAGGGAGATGAGAAACACGAGATGACACCCACCACCACTCAAACTGACTAGCCATAAGATGCGTAAATGTAATATAAAACAAAAGTATGAAAATACACCCAATGAAAAATGGAAACTAAAAAAGGTGTACAGTATATGGCTTCCATTTGCAGTTGGTCTCAAATGGCTGTTCCATTAACTACATTTTTAGGAGGTTGCTGCTTGGATAAAATCCAATACATTTTCTTTCATTAAAAACATTCAGTCAACAAATCCTGGCGCCAGGGTCCACAAATATACTTAGAGATATGACGTCTAATGCAAGTAGACACCTTCCATTCAGTTTACCGCTGAGAAAAAGCTTAGTCCTGGTCAGAGAAATAGAAGATTGGTTGCATTTTGGCTAATTCTTAATTTACTCCTAACAACGACTGTTTATCTGCATGTAACCGAAGCCCACAAATATGTGATTGGTCAATACTTGCACTACAAACAGACTATAATGGAAATCAACATGTTTCACATACATCTTGTCCCATTGCTTTACATATCTTGCTTTTATCTATAAATGTTTTGATAGATTATAAAGAACAATGGAAATAGTTGATCAGTTATGTAATCTTAAAACAATCAGAAATTGCGGTGGACATGCTTAAAAAGACAAACGCTCACCATGGGGCAGTCCAGTTGTGTCCGATAATGGGCACAGTGGCGTTAGTCACAGAGCTGCGGTATTTACGGTGCGCTGGCCCTTTAAGACAGCCCGTGTTTCCATTGGCACAGTGACGTCAGAGCAGTGAAGGACTCCAGCCTATCCTCTCCAAACAGTGAAGGCAATGGTCCTGGCAGAGTGTCCTGCTTTCGGAGGGAGACTTTTACACTGTACGAAAGCTAAGGGAAACACTCGTCGCTGATGTGAACCAGAGCCCTCGTGCACTCGCCTTGGATTAAAACGGAAACTTTTACGATGGCTCTGAAGATGAAAAAGTAGCATTAGAAGCTAACCGCCGACGGACCTTACACTGCAAAGCAACTCCGAGTAGATGCACGGCCACTGCTGAAAAATATGCTCCAGCCGAGCCGCATGAACCCCGGATTCAGCAGCAGATTCCCCGCGTTATAACCAGTTTTGTGAGACATTCTCCGGGCTTCTGTTTTTATTTTTCACTCCGCTCCTTTCCTATAAAGTCTACTGTACGAGACCCACCTGCGAGAGAGCATTATGGCAGGGAAGCTGACAGCAGCGCAGGGAACAGGAATACTGCTGGTGACAGCCAACGTCGGGTCATTGTTCGAGGATGTGAGTGTTCCCTTGATACACGTTGTCTTTCACTGTTGTCTGTTCAATGTTGTGTGTTTATTTTATTTTTCCATTCGGCCGTCTTCACGTTATGCTTAAATAACGTCTCAACTGGTCACGACTCGTGGTGTGTGTCAGGTCGGCAGCCCAAACATAAACCCGCCACGCACTAACACATGGGCCTCACACATCCATATAAACAAATATGTGTATGCGTTAAAGGTATGCAATGCCCCATTATTTCTCTCATGAGTATTGATCATTGCCTTATGCTGCAGTATAGTCCTAATGTTCTATGATCCAATGTTGGGCAAAGGTAAACACTACTGCATACCAAATGCAGTAAACAGTATAGCCTACCTAGTATGCAGAGGACACCCACCTTTTTAGTGTGCATCTGCAAGTAAAACCAAACTTATGTAAGTCAAATGAGTTTTTCTTAGAAATCCCAAATGCACCACTGTAAAGGTCTAAAATAAGTGTATTTATATGTGTGGTTGCTTGCTAGAATGAATATGTTTGCTTTTCACTGCATCACCGGAGATGTTACCTGCTACACAGGTCATGTTTGACACCCTTTATATTTCGTGAATTGATGACAGGGCTGCCCTGCAACATTTCCATATACAAGAGTAGGGTATTTTCTAAAGTAGACTGTGTACATAAACTATTGCATCTTTATGAGAACAAGCCACAATTAAATATTTACTCTAGATAAAGCAACTTTGCTTTGCCGAAGAAAGCAAAGGCATACTCTGTGGAAAAATAGGTGTGTCGGGGCTCTTAGGGAGTGTCTGTGCAGGTTGTTGAATGATATCTCAGGTTGTTATCATGCATTTGGACTCCTTGCTTTTTATGTCAGGCTGTAACTTGGTACCTAATGATACTAAAATATAGTGGAAACTAAGTGTTACTATTAAATGTTTCAAGTCCAAATGCTCTTGTGTCACTTTCAGTATTTTGTCAATACAGAGTCCCCCTCTTCCTCCCTCCCTTCACCCGTGTGAAGAGCTGATCCAAAACATGAGGGAAGAGCGTCTCCCTCGCTGGAGTAAGCCTATTAATAGCCTGCCTCTCTCTCTCAAAAGCAGCATGCTTTTGGTGTCTTGTGGATCTTTTTTTCTTCACCAGACTTCTCAGACGGAGCCAAAATGTGCATTAGAGCATGTTTTTGTCGTATTTATGCTCATATATAAAGTTATCTTTGGTCTGTATTGTGTTGACATCCCTTATGATGTATGTGTGAGTTCTATCAATTCTTTATTTATGGCTTTTAAGGCTTTTTCCGCCATTAGGTCCATTGTAGATAAGTCTTGTCATGACGGCAGAGCCTGAATCCTTTAAGGTCCCATATGAAATGCATCAAGCCTTCTAAGGCTGATGGTATATCCCCATATCATCTAGAGTTTCATCTCTGAATGGAAAATATGCTGTTTACTTAGCTTATTGCAAATCAAGTGACGTCGCTCCAGACTCCGTGTTCACAGCTCTTACACATGTAAACCCACTCTTTACAGCCTCAACATGCAGTTGTGGTGTATTTGAACAAGGACAGCTACTCTGCAAGAATTGATTAAAGCATTTCATGTAAATTATACACAGAGTTTTTCCCTCGAAGGTATAGGTGACCTAAGTATAAACGGGATAACATGGCTTGTTATTAAATCCAACATACACATATGTTATTTAAAGATTCATTTCTTTGTCAAGTTATGTTTAATCTTCCACAAGAAAGTAGAAGCTAGCTCAGTAGCTACTGTTGTACCACAAACGTATTTATAATTGACAGTGACACAGTACTGTTGTTGCAGTTAAATGTGCCTTTCCCCCGCTACTTTCAACGGAAAACAATCCATAGTTCTGATTTTCAAATACACGCATTTAGCCTGTAATTAAAACGGATCCTTTGAAATCGTCTTTTCTGCAGTCAGCAATGTCCTTTAGCAAATTATAATTTTCTCTGACTCCAGTTATGAGATATTATTTAAACAACATTTAATGTGAAAGACAAACAGTCCTCCTCACGTTCAACTCTTATTCTGTTAGCTCTCTCAGCCATCCTCAGGGAATCTCATTATGACCGCAAGCATTCCATTTATGAAACAGCCATCAAGAGTAAACCATTATTAGCTTTTTGTGAGTATCTCATGCTAACTCTCCCTGTGTTTCTAAAGTAAAGTCCCCCCCTCCCGATGACAGCTGGCTTATGTGTTAGCTACTTTACTTTCAGTGCGTTGTTTGGGCAGTCTAGAAACAGGGCTAGGTTCTGTGTCAGAATAGTGCCTGCGTCCTTTTTTCAACTGCAACGAGGTGAGAGCGTATGCCATCGCATGGGGCCACCGAGGCAAAATGCTGCACCCAGCGTGTTTTTTCTGAGCGCTCCACGTTCTCTTGTGGCTGCTTCCGAGCACTTGAAGGGGAAAACATCTCAACTTTTCAGAAAAGCGCTGGTGATGTCCTGAAATTGTAGGAGAAGCTTGTGTCTCAGATGTTTAATATCAATTAAACAACCAAAAACTCATTTGTTTGGGCAGATCGGCTGAGCGGGCCCTGAACTCGCTGAGTGTAGTAACGTTATCGTCAGATGTGGATTATTCTCCTTGTCGGATGAAACTCGGAGCAGGCTCTGCCCCGTGCTTTACCAAAAGAAGATGCTATGAAGACACAGGGCCTTAGGTTTTTAATGGTAACCTAATTAAATAGAGCAGCATGCAGCCTTGCAGATTCCACATTTCGCTTGTAGGGTCTTTCAATGATGTTGTTGTACACTTTTATAATATTATTCTGTTCCATCTGTGGCAAAAACAAGCAATTATAGTGGACGCTGCTTAATTCCCCGGAAGCAATACATTGTCTGTTTTGGAGATGCCTGCTCGCACTTTCACTCAGTGCTGAACTCATTACAAAATGTGTTGTCCCCATAGGTCACCCCATAGGTCACTTGGACACAAAAACATTGGAAACTTCTAGAGCTTCAGATGAAATAATGTTGACTTTGTGCTGAAACAGACACGTGCAAAACTGCCTGCATGTGAAGATGGAGCTTAAACATGCATTATCATCAGTATACATGAAGTCCTCCCAAGTCTTAGGATACTTACTCCCCCAGGCTTGAACTTGCTATCCGCTCCCATCCTGGAGACACAGTGGGAACGCACTGTGGGAGTCTCACAGGTTCAGCCTGTAGAACACAGTTCACCATAGATGGATGAAGCTTAATAATGATTTTGCTGAACTTTCAATTGTTGTCAGTTGCCTGCTAAAGGCCATCACAGAGAACAAGACTAAAAGAGATTGAGAATGCAAGTGCACATAGTAAAAGTGAATCACTCTTTATAAGTCAGGACTGCGGCCGCACGATATGGATAAAAATACTAATTTAGATTATTTCGACTGATATTGCAATTCCGACTTGATTCACAGTATTGAAGGGGTTAATCATTTTGGACCATTATCTTCATTATCATTCAAAATACGATATACTAAAAATGATATAGGGGAAAAGCTGCCACAAATGTATTGTATTTTTATATTTTAGGCACACATAAATGAAGAAAATAATTAACAGCTACAGTACAATAGCATTTCATGTATTTTTTCAATGTTGGCGGCAATTTCAACTGAACATTTTAAAGTTATTATTTTATGATCATTGTTTTAATGAGCATTCTTACCAAACAAATATATTTGATTTGGTCTGTAAAATAATATTTGTAAGCCAGTGTATCTATGAAGCAGCACAATCCTTAGTTCAGTAACAAATGTGTGTTTCCTGCAATTTGAATATTGCACTAGCCCGTATTGCGATTTCAATGAATTGCGCAGCCATATTCAGGACATCATTTAAATTGCACCAACTTGTAGCACAGTGTAGGGGATGATGGAGTCTCTACATTAGTTAACCCAGTTGAACTCTCAGTGAAAACTCTTGGCAGAATGTGGGCAACATGTTCAGGGAGTGTTTCCCTTTGGCCTGCGGTTTGTTTGTTCAGGTGGAAACCCTGCTGGATGGACTAAGGTGTCACCAAATAACAGCACCATGACGCCTGAGGTGTAGGTCTTGTTTTGAGAGAGGATGGAGGTATAGTGTCAGGGTAATCTGCTGTATCAACAAACCAGTAACAGGAAATGACTCTTTAAAAGGAAAGTTTGGACGTTTAAAGTATTTCTTAACTCTAACCCTGAGAATGTACATTTCAGACAAGCCTGTGCAGGTAATGCTTAACTGATTATTTAAGCATTAAAAATTATGTATTTTTTTACATATTGTAGCACCCAAAAATAATAAGTCATTCACAGTTATTTTGACACCCCCTGTGTGACACGAGTTAATCATGGAGAAGTTTTAGGATTATTGTAAATATGACAGGAAAAGGCTGCTCATTATGAATGTTGAAAAAAGTGAAAAATAAAGCCTGATTTTGAAATTGTAGAAAATGAAGAACAGACCACTTATTGGGGACGGTGATAGGGATCTCTGGTGGTAACTGACTCTGGCTTGTTGACAGAGATCATATCATGAAACCAGGAGATTTTCCAATGGAAGGCTTTGGATTAGCCGAAAATATGATTACAATCTGACACACGCCAACTCTACTGCCAGTTTTTATTCCCAACGATGTAAGCTTATGTGTTTGCTCTGCTTTCCAGGGATCAGCATATTATCCTAATGTTGGCTTTCATTCTCCAGTTCTTTCATTTCAATACAAACTGGTCATTGGCCGGTGTCTTTCATTGATTACAACCACTGTTTTTGATTACATGCACCTCTTTTTGGACCAAGCCAAGATACCTATATGTTGAGGCAATAGATTTATATGAATAGTCCCTTAGTGTGGGTTTCCAACTTATTTGTCATCATGTGTCTCCTTCCCCTGTCCACTGACAGCTCATTAGCTCAGGCTTTCACAGCACGGACCCCCAGAGCTGCCATATTTACACCACTAAATATAGCACAGAGCAGCAAAAAATACCTTTCTGACTCATTGTCCTCAAACCTG